AAACAGAACTTCAGATCCAGAGTCATGGCAATTTCCCTGCTCACCAAGACCCAGGAGTTTGCTCATCTCACCAGCATGTCTTCATTAAAGGTTTATCTCTCCATTAAAGGAGACTCATTGAGCAAGAACTTCATGACCTCTCAGCACACCAGGCCCAGCACAGCCCAGGTGGCCATTCTTGAGCCCAGCTACGAGGGACACACTTTGAAAGACTGAGAAACCAGGGGGACCAAGCTTGAGGTCACCTGGCACCTTGGCAGTGGCCAGGGCATTCTCTACCCTAAATAGTGTACTTTGATGCTTAGAATTCTAAATGTTCTGTCATTGTTAATTTATTGAGTATTCACTGTAATTATCTCACTTGTAATGAATTCATTTGGTATTAATTTCAATGTCATATGTACAGTACTTTGATGAGAATTACTGCATGATTCAGCATTAATTGAATCCATCTTTAAAACGAAATGTTAACAATCAATTCATATTACTTGGTCTCTAAAGCCCCCGGCAGAGCCTTCATTATAGCTGTTATTATTTATAAACTGTGCAAAGTATTTTCTAAAATGTGCATTCACAGGTTTCCTCCCAATATGCCCTTCTCTTATCTATACATCACTTCTGCCTTGCCAAGTAGATTTATCTAATCAATACCTCAGTGTCCTTATCTCTAAAGACGTCACCTTGTGTTTACAGCTGAAAGATTTCTTAACTGCTTCTATAGCAGTGAAATGTATCATATTTTCACACCACATTCATCTCATGGACCATCCAGACAGGAAAAACATGAGGGTCTTTTCTACTAAATCATGAAAATATTCTCTTGATTTCTTAACACACCTTATCAAAAAGTGGTCAGTTCACCAAGAAACAAAGTCATGTTTTTAAATGTGAACACTAAAATGAGATTACCTGGAAGAGAATGCTACTTTAAGCCATGTGACCTCAGATGAGTACATTTGGCATATCAGCTCAAATATCCTGATGACAAGTGAAAAATGAAAAGTAATTCAGATATTTGTCATACTCTAACCAGGCTTTGGATATTGAAAATACACAGCCCATCAGTTCTCCAGTAGAGACAGGGATGAAGAGAGAGAAAATGCACCAGCACCTGAGGAGATGTTTAGAAGAGAAGCATGAAATGGGAAATCATTGCAGCGCTGCCACTTCCTGGACCTGGCCTTAAAGACCTCCATAGCAAAAGAGAGTTATTTTCAAATGGATCAAACTAAGAACTTAAATTATGTAGGGCATGGAGACGTGAAGACAAAGCAAAGGTGGCATACAAATATAATTTTGAGTTAGACAACTCATGGTATTCATTTTATTAATTCTCCAATTTTTGACATTTGATTAGCCCACAAATCCCAACAGCAAATACCTTATGTCTATTGTATATTTTTTATTTCTCAGTGTGTGTATGTGTGTGTGTGTGTGTGTGTGTGTGTGTGTAAAACACAGCCTAACACATGGAAGTGAACTGTAGATTACAAGCTATAAGATCCATATTAATGGACAATCATGTTGGCTTTCATCAGGAAGACAGTATAAGCCTCCCAAGATAGTGTTTGTCTCGCTCTTGGTGTGTGACAGTGTGAGACATAAGATACACTGGGCTCATTTGCTCCTTGAGCTCCCTGCCCTATTGGAACAGGCACTGGTGATAGTAATTGTATGAAACTACACGTGATTTGTTTATTACTGAAGGTTTATTTGGGACTGTCACCATGATCTGTACCCATTAGTAATCTCTCAACTTTTTACAGGGACTCCGGTAATACCTGATTTTTCAAGACTTCTACAAAACTTTAGTAAAAAGTCTGTATAAAAAGATGTTTCTTTACTCCTCTACTCTCTTCCTCTATGAGATTTGAGGCTTATCTACACTACAGAAAATTGAAATAAAAAGACCTATAAGCCTTTTAAATGATATTGAATTTCGTGATTGGATTTGGTTTTAAGATATTTACTTACTAACTTACAATAGAAAGCCAAGCCCAACTAAAAGTTGTAGCTGTGTTTCTTCTTATCTACTAAACCAAATCCACCGTGTCTGGCCTTAGGCATTCTCCAGACATCAAGTGAGTTCGGCTTCCATGAAGTACTCCAAACACCACATGCAAGTAACCCAGTGCCCATGCCATCCAGCAGAGAATTAACATTTGTCCAAGCACTCCCTGGAGAAAACAGCTGCACTGATAAAAAGACTAATCAGGCAAACCCTTAAAGAGTATGTATAGATGAGACGTCACCTTCCAAGTCACGAGCAAAAAGCTCTCACCTGAGCCTTCCATCCGGACGGCACAGACAGATGCATCCATAGCTCTGGGATTAGGTGTGCAGGTCCTCAGGGCATATCTCTGTTTGAAGTCATGTGGAGTGTTTGCAAGAGAGACCCTCACCATAGTCCTGAAGTTTTTTGTTTGTTAGCAGAAAAATACACTTGGTGCTCAGATACATGAAGCCAAATAGCAGACATCTATTCCCAGTAGGGCCCACGGTTTACATGTGCCATAGTGTTCCACAGTCTGCAGTGAGAGGTTATGGTTTACAGAAGGTTCAGCCAGACCAGGCCAGAATGCTCACCACTGACAGCACGCTTAGCGGGCGACCAAGGACTTTCCCAAAGCATCACACACTTCCTCACCTGGAGAGGTTAATTACAGGTTTTTTAAATAATAGAAGTTACTCTGAAGCACTCAAATATTCACATTACTGTATACATGTTCTCACCTTTCATATTAGTTTCCTAGAGCAGCCATTAGAAAGTACTGCAGGCAGAGAGGCAGACAGAGCAGAACTTCCTTATTCGCAGCTCTGAAGGCTCCAACTCCAAGTCAAGGTGTCATCAGGGAGTTTCTTCTGAGAGCTGTGAGGGAGATACCGCTCCAAGCCTCTCTCCTTCGCTTGTAGGCAGCCCGTCTTCCCACCGTGTCACCACATACAAAGGTGGTCAAGACATACGGTGAATGTTAAAACTTTAAAATTTATTACAGTAAAAAACACATTGTCATTAGTCCCCCTTGAAATGCTCCCCCCCAGATCAGACACTTGTTCATCATTCCTGCCACTTTCTGGAGCGGTTCTGGAACCCTTTGCCACGAGGCCTCAGTGCTGTCCGAGGGAAAGGCAAGGTGGTGAAAACATCACGGTGTGTCCACATCAGCTGCACTCACCTGAGCTGGGATCATAAGACTTCTGGCTTGCTGAAATGAATTCAGCACATCAAGGCAGCTACAATAGCACAACTAAGACACTCACGACAGAGGCTTACAGAACTGCTTCGGAAAGTAGCAAGAGCAATGGGATAAGTGTGTTCCAGCGAGGAGGAATATTTTGAGGGACATTAATGACACTTGTCTTTTAGCATAATAAAAAAAAATTTTAATTAAACATTCACCATATTTTCCAATCATATCTTCCATTCTTCTTTCTGCACATGTCTGTGTCCAAGTCTCCTCTTCTTACAAGGACACCAGGCATATTAAAATAAGACCTACCCCACTGACCTTATTTTAATTTAACTGTCTCTACGAAGCCCTGTCTTAGCGCCTCAGTCTGAGGTGCTGGATGTTAGGAGTTAGATGTGTGAATTGGGGCCAGGGAAACCATTCAGTCTATAACACCTTCCTATGGGTATTTTAGTCTTAGAAATCACAAAGTCACTCTGTTTCTAGTTTTCTCACAAAAGAATAAGGAAACTTACAACTAGTCTGAGAAAGCTAGTTCGTGCCTGTGTTTCTTTGCCAGTTCCTTTCAGCAAGGTAAAGAGAAAATTCAAATCAGCACCTTGGCAGGCCAGTGAGGTTTTGCAGATATAGGACCTAATGCAGTGCAGGACAGCGCACACCATGAAAAATCTGTAAAAAGGTTACCCTAATGATAGTGACAATGATGCTAAAGGAGGTCAACTACTAGGCCAGAAATTTAGAACTGGCTTGCAGTTAACAGGTGAAAGTAAAACAGTTCCACCTTGAACATTTAACAACCAGCAGAAGCAGCTTTCGTTTTCCCTCACATCACTGAACAGCGAGAAGAAACGGGCTCAGGCAGCCCTTTGAAGAGTATAATTTTCTTCATTAAATATAATGTCAGTAACAGACCTCCTAGCACCACCCGCTCTTTTTGTTTTGTTTCTAACAGTGCTGGGATTGAACCCAGGGTCTGGTAAACGTTAGATGAACAACCTACCACTAAGCTACCTGACCAGCTCTCAATCTGCTTTTCTTGAATCAAATGCTTTGTTTTGCATGGCTTTTGTTATCTAGTTTTGACTGTTGCTTGGAAGATAAAATAACCTTAAAATTTGTAACCTAACATGTCCAAAAGAATTAAAACTTGTGTGTTTTCCTTCTAACCAAGCAACCTTTTCCTTAAGTTTCTTTTCTGCACAGACATCTAAGAAAAATGTATCAGAACTATGGGGATAGTGGTGCACATTAGGAGAAGTGATTTCCTTTTAAGGAAAAGAAAGGAAACTTCCTTTTGACAGTGAGAAAAACACATTAGTAGCACTGAACCAGCAGACTGGGAGAAGGCTAATTCTTAAGACAAAGTTACATCATCTTGTTTCCACTTACTAATGACAGAGTAGACTTATGGTCACAGTTCTGAGAGAGCACAAAGCAGATCATCTTAAACTTAGCGAAAAGCCTAAAACACCATCTGTTGCTATGTTGAAACATTTCACGGGGGTCAGGGAAAAGCCAGCAGGCTTATAAATAAGAAGACACTCAGCCACACCAATATCCACTCCAGGCTCTGCTCGGAAGCCCAGAGGGGAAAAGGCACTTCCCGGGTGTTTGGGGGATGCTTGGACTATATTCCTGAAAAAGAAGGAAAATACATCAGTTACTGAAACAACATTCCAGTAACTTTACCAAAGCAAGATAAATCAAAAATGGTATCAGAGAAGATTGAATTGAGGAATATAGGTTGCCACTGCACACCTGCGTTTGACTCCTTTTAGGAAATGTTAACGGGAAAAGATTTCCCTTGAAATAAAATATGTAAAGCATCAACAACACATGGCAAAATCTCATTTATTGCCTTAGCATGAGGATCTTCAGGCACCAACAGCCACTGTCTGTAAACATAAGATGTCCCCTTCGAACAGCCGTGTGCGTGAGCAGAGGAAGGCGCCACCTCGCCCGGCTTTCCGGATTCACAGCAAACAGCAGCTCAATTAGATCATCTGGGCTTTAATAAGGAAGAGCAGGAGCCGCAGAACGCGACCAAACGTGGAGGCTTTGCAGCCAGGCGCTCTGGGTTGTCGCCGACATTTCAAGCTGGCCCACAGGGACAAAGCCCAAGGGATTAGCTGGCACGGTAGCTAAGAGCACCGTCCGGTCCATGATTTTTCCACGCAGCGGCGGCTCCCCCAACTCCGGAGCCCGCGGCGGGAGGTCTCCGGCGCTGTGCCGTAAGTGGTCGGTAGATGGCGCACCAAGCCTCCGCCTCGGTCCGGGCAGCCGCAAGCCGTGCGGCCCGCCAGGAAGGCGAGGACTTTGATTCATAAAAAACATAAATTCTACTTGATGAACAATAATAAAGGAAATTGACTACGGGGCACCATGGAGATGAATTTTTAAAGCCCCGAAATCAAGTTATTTGAGATTATTTAATTTAATTTACGAAATTTGAATAACTGTGCGATGTAATGGTGCATGGCAGGGCATTTAGATTTTATAGCTCCTAAATGCTTCTCTTTAGGGTGATTGCAGTCAGTTGCACGGTCGCCAGAGAACTCTGTCCCCATCTCCAAGCTGTGTAAACAAATCGAGGAGAGAATAATTACACACTGGGAGTAAGAGAGCATCCACCGAGGGCGCAGACAGCCCCGCCACAAAATATCCCGTCAGCTAGTAAGCTACCTCGAAAGTACTCAAAGATCGATGTTAAAGACTTTATTAAAATTAGCCCAGCTGCTACGTCCAAAGTAAGGGCTTTCCCGGCGTTTATGTAGTAGAATCCGCATATCTTAAAACGTGTAAGCTCTATTACCACATTTATATTCCTCCCCAAATTTTTTAAGTTGACAAATGCACATTTCCAACAGCTTCCCAACTGATAACTTTTGAGTACAGAAAAAAACTAGAGACTTTGCTTATCCTTTGATCACAGACAGTTTTCTGCTAGCACGTAAAAAGTCTTTCTATAAAAACGCATTTTTCCTCTGGGTGGCTCCAGAGCTCACACACACCACATGTTTGCACAAGTGGGTGTGTATATTTGCACAAACAGAGGGAGTTGCACGTACTAATTCAAATACCGATGTGTGTGTGCATATCCGGGTCCACACGCTGTCTGTGTGCCGCTCTCTGCTATTGTTTTCCACGGAACTGATTCTGGCACCAGCTCATTAGCGCTTTGGAAGGGCCTTCATTAGCGCTGGGATAGTATCCAAAAAGAATCCAGAAAAATCAACGCATGGCTGCTCTTGTTCTCACGATAAATGACAGCTTTCCTGGAAAACAACAACAGTGAAGAAGCAAAACAAAAACCAAAAAGCAACACGGGTAGCAATAACATGAATAGACGAAGTCAGACATCACTAACTCGGATTTTTTAAATTTTTAATTTATTTATTTATTCAATTTTTTTTACAACTGTCTTCCTTGCCACTAAGCCTCCGGGTACTTTCACAACAATTAAAAATATAAATAACAAAAGTACATTAAGAAACACTGAAAAGATAATCACAGCAAGCTTGTGTCTCCTTGCGGACGCAAACATTAACCAGAGATCAGTTCAACATAAGCTGCCCATTACACTATTCCAGCCCCCACATGGCAGGCTGGCCATCAAAATTTCCACCCCACAAATCTGCAAGGCAGAGTTCTGAGGAGATGTGCCTTCTCTGGAAAACAGAATCTCCCTAATTACCTGAAAGTCTTCTCATGACGCCATTAATAAGAACCTGGGTTGTGCAGACGCCACGAGGATATGCAGAGAAAACAGTGATGTCCCAACTAGTCAAACTCCAGTAACCCCCCGGGTGTGCGTAGAGGAATAGGCCTTCACACTCACGCCTGAATACGTCACACTCTGAAGAAAGGCAGCAACACAGACCGTGTTAACCCAAAGGGTTAAATCCTTTGCACTTCGGCCGTCAGAACAACAGCGAACACGGAAGCGTGTGCGGCCCTCTAAGGCTGGCCACCCTGCCCAGGGGCCGCCACCCCAGCTCGTCATCCCTCTTTCGCCTTCCCTATCTTCAGTGTCTCAGTTTGATTTTCCTCAGAGTTGTTTGGATTGGAGGACCCTGAAATGTTTTGAGAAAAAGACAAGCGGAACAGAGAAGCAGTGAAATAACTGTTAAGCGGCACGGGGCAAGTGCCTCCAAGAATTCAAGGGCAGGTGCTCCCAAACGAGAGGAGGGCGCCTACGGCCCGCGCCGGAGCAGCCTTCATGGGGAGGGAGTTAGGAGGAGAAAATGGGCACAGGTAGGTGGCAAGAGAGGTTTGAAAGAGCCAAGGCTTAAACTGAAGATATCCCAAGGTGTGGGTCTGGAGTGATTGAAAATGAAGCAGCAGCGGCTTGTAGCAGAAGGAAAGCCAAGCATCTCTAAATTCTTTCATTCCTTCCACAAATATCATTAAGTGCCTGTGATGTGACAGGCAATAACACGGCGAGCGCCAGGCATGCAAAAGTAAACAGGATGTCTCTTCTCACTCCCTCCTTATTTCGCAAGTCCACCATTTTGTGTGGCTTCAAGCTCAGTCAATGCACAAGGTCCTCTACTGCAGGAGGCAGGGATTAAAACCGTGTGAATCTGTGAGCTGAGCAAACATCGAGCCCAGAGTGAAGCATTCCTGAGGCAGTGTGAGCCTGGCCAGCACCTTAGACTCGGAGTCAGCAGCACAGTAAATGCCCCCTCTCTCTGGCGGGAAGCCTTTCTTCCAGACTGTAGCTGAAGAGTCTGCTGACAATGGTTCATCCTTAGAAATGGCTCCGCTTCAGGCTGTTGCTGATAATTCTTGTGAATAAACTAACACAATCTCATGTCTGACAGAACTGTCTCACTCTCCAGTAGGGGCCAGAAAGCCGGTTGAAAGACTTCCAAAAGAAGGAGAAATTCCAAGCGGAACTAAAGCTACTTCTCAAAACCCGGCTCAATAAGCTTTCTCTCTTTTCGTGTCTCCCAAAATGAAGTTAGAAGCAGACTGGTGTTTGGCAGGGAAACCAGAGCCAACACTCTCTGTATTTGCTTATTTATTGGTACCCTGGAAGGCAGCCACCGTTTATGGTCCTTCATGCCCAAGTAAAAGGAGCAACAGTTCCTGCCAACAACGTCTCCAGGCCACCTGACCGGCACCTCTCTGCAGAAGCCAAGAGGGGAATGGGTCCAGGACATCAACTGTTGGCCGCCATGTTTATAATACAATTAATGTTGCCTATAATTGAACAGACCCAAGTTAGAGAAGATAGTGCCGGCAAGCTCCCTGAAATGGCTGAGCTCCTGTAGAAGCACGGCTTGGAGAGGCCAAATCTGACGGTATCCATCCCCAACCACACAGCCCACTGAAGTTATGCCTCTATGTTGTTCTGTTTGGATGAGCAGTAGGACTTTGGTGAGAACTTGGAGTGGTCTCAGAGAGTCTCACGTCCACGTGAATGATGATGTTTGAGGAAAATGCCTCTTTGAGGAAAGGTCAGATAAATAGGGATTTGTTTTAATGAAGCAGAGCAAGAAAGTGAGGATAGGACCATGGAACGTACAAGTCTTAAGAATGATAACAGGGCAGTGAGGCTGGCTTTGTTAAAGGAGAGTAAAGAACTGGTCTGAACTTGCAGCAGAGCTTCAGTAGGAGAAATGGCACAGTTTTCGAACTAATAGGTCCTTAGGGATTTCTGACTCTGTCCTCTTCATTTGACCAGTGTTGCCTTTATTTTCCAGGAAAGATTCTGCACTAGAAGTTGCTCCCCTAAGTGTAAATGCAGTGTGGGAGCCTCGCAATTGGCTGACATCAACCATAGAAGGAATCTACTTACTTACTTACTTATTTATTTATTTTTCTGAGACAGTCTCACTATGTAGTTCAAGCTCACCTTGAACTCACTGTGTAGCCCAGACTGGCCTCCAAATTGCAACAGATCCTCCTGCCTCAGCCTCCCAACTGCTGAGATTTCAGGTTTCAGAAGGATTCATTTAAACGTTATTAGAAGCATGTACTTGTCACCCAAAGGACTCATACTTCAGGTTAAATTGAAGACTAAGGTAGGCAAGAGCATAGCACCCTCCATACCGGGATCCCAGAGGCTTCAAGGGTGTGTGCAGACTCGGTGGTGTGGGCGGCTAGGCTGGGCTGGGTCCACCCCGGGCATCACATTTTTCGGACGGCACACTTACAGGTCAAAAGGAAAATAATACGATAATGTATGGTTCTTCTGAGCTGTGTTTGATGTTAAGCTAAGGTTCCCCACGTGCACCTGAACGCAATGCACGACTGTTCACAAATTCTATCAGGCGATTTCCATACAGTCTCTACCGCTGCATTGAAGTGCCACCCCTGCGGCACGAACTCCGGGCCATTGTGCATACGTGCCACTGGGCATATGCCTATGACTTTCAGAAGAGGAATGCGCAAGCTCGCCAGAGCCCGGCACGGGAGAGTGCGGTGGTGCAGGACGCTGGAGCGGGCCGGGTCAGGAAACGCACAAAGTCTTCCCCAGAAGCAGCTCGTCAGGGCTTCCTCGGCTGCCCAGGCGTACAGCAGTGTCATGGGAGGCAGGCTGCGGGCCCACCGTGCCAGTCACTGAGGCACGCTGGCCACCATGGCGCAGCGTGAAATTTCCCGTTCGCTCCACAGCCTCCGATTCAGAGCAACATTACCACCAACTGTGCTCGGAACCGACTTTCTTTCCCCTCTGCAAGTGAAAACCAACACCATCTCAGATGAGTGGGTGGGAGAAAACGAAGGGTGCTCTTCTTCCACTGAGCTGGTCCAGGTGGGCCGCAGTCAAGGTCGGTCAGACCTCCGACCTCACCTCTGAGCTGCTCAGCCGAGCAGGCAGCAGGTGAGGCTGGAAAAGGATATAACCGTGTCCCTGGAGAAATGTGACCTGAAATGTTCAGCAGTTTGTACATTAACCAGTGCTCTCAAAATGAGATAAGTGAGTCAGATGAGTGGTGTGCCCCAGTGACCCCACACGCCAGCAGTTGAGGTCGGACTGCAAATTGAAGCCCAGCCTGGGCAACTTAGCAAGCTCTGGTTGAAAAGCAAAAATTTAAAAAACAAAAGGACTGGGGATATAGAGCATGAAGAAGGCCCTGCTGGACTAATTCCTTAGTATTGAAAACAAAAAGAAAACGAAGAATGTGTTCAGCTCCTGAGACACTAGTGTCTTCATCCTTCGCTGCAAATCTTTGCACACTCCATTTTGTCTACCATCTGCAGCCCATCTTCCTTCCATCTCTACTGGGTCAACTCCTACTCATCCTCCAAAACCCAAAACAAATGTTATCTTTCCAATGAAGTCTTAAAGTATCTCCAAAACACAATTCATTGCTCTCCCTTGTAATTCCAGCTATGAAACATCAGATGCTATACACATATAGTTAATGATCACCACATTAGGGTGTGAGAAATGGTAAAGAGGAGAGAAAATAATGTGAGCTTTGGGGACAGAGACAAGAGACTCCACATCCCAATTCCTCCACTTATAAACTTGGTGTCCTTGGGCAAATGTTCAGTCTTCCTGGTCCTTTGTAAAATTCCTTTCATAAAAGGAGGGTGAAAGTTCTTACTGTGTGTAGTTACCTCTTCTGGAGTTGCAGAGCTCACCCCAGAGCCTCATGCATGCTGGGCAAGCGCTCCACCACGAAGCCGCACCCCGCCCCACGCCTCTTTTTTCCTGTTTGAGGACCAGACACTGGCAAGTAAACCCGCGCTGCTGTTTACCTCCCCAACCCCAGCCAGCTGGTCCGCTCCTCCCTCCTGCCCCTCCCCGCGCTTTCCACCTTCCTGTCCTCACCGTTAGGTGAAAAGCCCTGAACACACGAGGGACTTCATGCAGAGGCTCCTTGACCTGCAGTGGGTTTCGATCCCAACCAGCCCACTGTGGACAGGAAATGCTGTAAGATGAAAATACATTTAATCCTCCTCGCCTGCCACACACTTGCCTTCTCATGGCCCTACAGCCAATAGGGAGCCTTTGCCCAGGCTCACGGAGAGTAATAGACTGCACACAACCAATCTGGGAAAAGATCAAAATTCAAAATCCTAGGTACAGTTTCTACTGGACGCACATGGCTTTTGCGCTATTGTAAAGTCAGGTCGATCCACTGTAAATCAAGGACCATCTATGCAACCATGCAGTGAAAGTGGGAACTATGGAAAAGGGCCAGTTTTTAATTCATAAATGTCAGCCCCAGGAAGGGCCCTAAACCAAAGGCGTTTGACCAGATGGCAAACAAGAGGAAGTTCAGAAATGGCGAATAGCAGGTTCCAAAGAACCCAGCCACACCCGCACCCTGCAGACCGAGGTTCTCCCACCATGTTTCTCTGCCAGTCCACACTCCCCTGCCTTCAGGGACTGCAGACTGGGCCTGCACGGGCCTCCTTGAGGTTGTTTATCCACTGGCCTCTTGAACCCTGGACCCAGAGACCAGCACTAGCCTTTCTGGCTACTTTCATGTAGATCCCAGCTGGATGTGTGGTGCAGGCCTATAATCCCAGCACTGTGGGAGGCCGAAACAGGAAGATCACAAGTTCCAGGTCAGTCTGGGCAACATAGAGATTCGGTGAGACACCGTTTCAAAATAAAATTAAAGGCAGAGGATGCAGCTCAGAGCAAAGGTCCTGAGTTCAGTCCCCAAAAAGAATCCCATCCAGCTATGAGTGGTTAAGGGCAGTTTCTCATTATCCACCCTAAAACAGCTTCGCTCATGTTGGAAATGATAGATGATTAGCAGGCCTGAGAAAGCATGTTGTGCTACATTCAGAAAGGATGCAAGTGACAAAACATGCTGCCTTCTGGACAGGCAGGGAAATGGCGTTCAGCAGACACTCGGCGTCTCGTTCCTCCGTGCCTGGCTAGACGGCTTGATGGCGTTCACAGCACTGTGCCGAGGCGCCCAGGCACGCAGCTCTCACAGGACAGCGTTCCCTACGCTAATGGCGAGCGAATCAGAAACACATGGATTTAATTTCCTTCAAAACACCCACGGGTATAAAAATCAATGCAGGAAAGTCATTTGGCTAACTCTATTTGGGGCTTTTCTGAGCCCAACAATGGTGAGAAATTGTTGGAAATAGTTGCTGAGTTCCAAATCCCACCAGGTCCAGTGCTCCCCCAGCACAGCCCAGGCCTAATGTGATGTGAAGCCCGGCTGTCTTTTTGGAGCGAGGCAGGTGCTTGCTGTGTGGTACCTTCCCGGCTGCCATCTCTACAGATTTCCTGCTTTGTGCTATTAGCTCATTTGCTTAGCGTCTCCCACCACAGTGCCATCAGGGAGATCTCAACTTGGCAGCAGATCGGGATCCCTGCCTGAAAGTTGATAGAGGTTGAGCTATTTGCAGAAATAATGCTTTCCAGACGTACTAAACAGTCCCCCTTTCCAGATGGAGTGGCATTAGTGTTGCTTCCAGCCATTTCCTCGCCTTCTGGTACCCTTGTCAGTTCTCCCGTATGCACCACAAGCCTTCCGTGTTCTGGGGAATCTCAGAAAACTGCTCAGACCCTCAGCTTCTCACCACTTGCATGCAAAACTGTGCACACATATGCACATTTACACAGCGTCCGCTCTTATGTATGCACATCCAGTTTTCTCTCCCCACCTCCTGGGAGTCAACTTAGATTTTATGAGAGAGCTAATCACCGAAAGTGATAGCTTAGCAGTTCAGGGAATTAGACAGGCATGAATACACGGGACGCGGAAGAAGTGCCTTGGCTTTGGTGGTTCTTTCTGCCATTAGGAGTCTTAGATGACACTGTACTTCCTGTTGCCTCTTGGTAGCCTCCAGTTTTAATGTCAGAGGGAGCCCTTGGTAAAGAGTGCACTTCCTGGCCCAAAATAACCCTCAGAGCACCAGCTTGCTCCGGCCCTGCTATGGTCTGAGTGTCTCCTCCCAAACCCGGGCTGACATCTACTTGCCATCGTGACTGTTGAGAGGTGGAGCCTTGCAGAAATAATCGGCTTGCGAGAGCTGCCCTTATGGATGGATCGATGCTTTACCCTGAAAGCGGGTGGGTTTTTGTGGAGTGGGATTAAAGGACACGTTCAGCTCCCATGCTGTTTCTGTCTTGCATGCTCCCTTGCTCCTCTGCCTTCCACCATGGCATAACACAGCAGGCAGGCCCTCACCAGGTGCCCGCACCCTGCGTTTGAATTTCCCAGCAACCCAAACCATGAGCTAACTAAATTTTTATTGTTTATAAATTACCCAGCCTCAGGTGTTCTGCCATAGCAGCAGAAAACAGACAAAGGCAGGCCAAAATATGAGTTTGGATTAGGGGACCCCAAAACATCCCATCCATATGCTGTTTCCTTACTAGGAAATTGTCCAACTCTCCACATGTTAATTTTGGATGATTTAATCATGCGCAGCCCAGGTAGCAGGTACTTAACCAGTTCATGCCTTGAGGTTCTCCTCAGCTCTGCAAGATCCCTCAAGAGCCCTGGTGCTACTGGCCCACACTCAGGCTGTGAGTCTTAGCAGTCAGAGGAGCACTGGCTGCATGAGTCCAGGATAGGCATCCAGGTTGAAAGCTGTCACAATTTCACAATTTTCTACCAATAAGTATCCCCTTTGGTTTACACTTGGTTTTCTGTTCTAATTTTCTCCTGATGCTGAACATCCCTTTTTGAAAAAAATAAGGTGAAACAGGAGAATATATGCATGCTGATTCCCCTCTGGTGTACTCATGTGGCAACTTGGCCCCCTTGGCCCTAAGTGTGTTTAAGATAGAAAGACTCTTCCAAAAATCTCACATCTGTCCTAGTTCTGTTCTCACGGAGGAAAGACCTACCTGCCTCAAGGTGGGTGAGGGAGTGGTGAGGATTAGCTTCTGAAAGAGCTCAACAGTGGGACCTCTGAGTATCCCCATAGACAGCGAAAGTCACAGGAAGCAACTGAGCACAAGGCCTGAACAAAATCAAAACAAGATGAAACAGATACCCATTTAACAAATGCGAACCATTGGCTATGACTGATACTAGTGCATTCTTCAACTCAACTCCTGAATTATCATTCAGAATCAGCACACCCTGTGTGACCTAAGATAGGTAACTTATCTTCCCAGGGCCTCAGATTCCTCACCTGCGAAGTGGGGCTGACACTACTAATACACACTCATAGGTTTGCTGTGAGGAGTTACTGTGAAAAGGCGTGTAGAGTACCTGGTGTGAGCCTGGGGTGTACTAAGTGGTCTCTCTGTATAGGCTCATAACCAAAGTACAAACCTTCTTCTACCTCCAGAAAACCTTATTTTCATTATTTTAGAAACCAAAAAGACCTCAGTTCTCAATCTAGCAATTGCCACTAGCAGATTTGGTATTTAGGACACACAAGGATCACTGTGGTCATTGGCTTTCTTGACCTTGCCGTTTGAGTGAGTCACTGACAGAGCCACACTGATGCTCAGCTCCTTCTGGAGAGCCAGACCTTGGCCATATTAAGGGGAGACCTCACAGACTCCGGTCTAATGGCTGGTCTCCACCGCTGGTGATCTTGCTGGAAGAGGATCATTTTGCAGTCACAGTGCCCAACTGTGGTATATCCTTCCAAGCAAAAATAAGTGACCTTAGCAACCAAATAATTGCTTTACTGGATCAGCTATGCTGCTTTCCACCTTGACCAAGTCCTTGTCTACCTTAATTCTTACCCAGAGCCTCACAGCTTTGCCATGTGCTTCTTAGATGCCCTTATTTTTTTCATCATGTAAAGCATGTTAAAAACAACAAAAGTCTTACCGCAAGTTCTAGCAATTCCTTTAAACACTCAAAACACATTCTGTTGCTCAGTTGATATGTACTTACAGCTTGGAAGTACCAATCAGCTGTTCCATGTTCATTTTTCTTAACGCCCATCCTCTTTAATTTCTGGAAGTTCCAAACAGCAAGGTGTCACCCTCCCCAATTCTTTCTGCTTTAGCTATTGATAGAAGGAAAGTAAATGTATTAGTCTCCACCCATCAACTTGGGCTTCCGATTACATCGCAAGACATGCTCATTAAAGCAGGTACGGGGTTCAGAGCGGAAGGAGGGGTTTCCATTCAGCCCATGATAGGAGTAACAAGTTGATCAGCATGACACGCCAGCTCCACGAGGGAGAATACCTTAAACAATTCCATCAACACTGATTTACTTTAACCAGGTGATATTTTAATGAGCCAACCTCTATGCTCCCTGGATGACACGACTTCTCAAACTAAGAGAGCATGCCACCTTTACAAGAAAAAAAAATAAAAAACACTAAAAAAGACAGAGCGTTGACACTTGCAGATGAGTCTAATTCCCTTTGTCCTATGGCTATGTGCCATGTTGGGAGCACTCCAAGTGCATTGAGCTGATTTTCGCTGTCATCAGAACTGACCCCCAGTCCCCCAGGAGGCCCGCAGCCTGTCTGCTGCAATGACAGGGAAAGGAGCCAGGCTTCAGCTTGGGGCCCTCAGATGTTCGGCACAATGGCCGTGTCCAACCCCAACGGGGGCAGCTGGATCACATGAATTTTTGAAAGTAAAACAACTGATTTGGGCTGGAGGAAGGGAAGGGGGATATAGTCTTACTTTTCCCCCTGTGAAATCCCCATGGAGGAAATGCACAGACCAGCGTGTTGGTTTTGGCACCAGCACACACAGTGCCTCTGTTCTGGAGATGAGCTGACGCGTGCAGATGTGCAGATCAGCCATTTCCAAAGGTTAATTAAATATTACCATTGTTTTCCAAGCTATTAATGTCTGTTCTTTTATTTTTTTCACGTGAAAGGCTTCGCCCCACTCCAAAAGCAGGGTTTGAATTCACTTCCTAGACCTTGCCCCTTTTGAAACCTCGAAAGAGAATGACCAAGTGGCCCAGAGAGAGAAAGGGCTTGAGGGGAGAGAGATGCAGAGGCTCCGAGGCTGAAGGCAGAGTGCAGCTTGGAGCTGCGGAAGGAGGGACTGCAGCCAGCATTGTCTGAGGTGGAGCCCCTGAAACGCTTTTCAGCTCCAGCTGGGGAACAGAGTCACGTCATTCAAAGAAGGTTCTGTCAGTGGGCTGGGAAGGAGCACCCTGCTTCTCTAGCGCTCCATACTGATGACATAACTGACAGTGCTGGAGCCGAGGAAGAGGGCAAGTGTCAGCCTACAGTGGTTCCGCAGGAGGGCAGGGATACAGGTGACTGAATGGCCCGCAAGAGTGGAAGCAAGAACACATCGCAATGTCTGTCTGTTCCCTGCCACTTCCAAATGACACCATTCCCTTCCTGCCTGGGATGTCCCGATGTGCACAGGATGATGGCCTCCATGCATATGAGAGAAGGAATCCAAGATGGACGACAAGGGTAATAAGACAGAGGTCAGGGAGAGGACAAGGTTCCCTCTGGCAGGAAGTACCACCCTCTGTGATTGCAGTTTACAAGAATCCTAAGCCACATGAGCACAGCAGTCTGCAGGAAATCTCTGCACACAACCCATCTTCTAGGGCAAGCAGGACATGTTTTGTTTGCAAAGCAACAGTGCTGCCTAGATGGGGGAGGAAGCAGCAAACTACAGTGTAATGAACAGAGAACAAAGGAGCGGAATAAAGACCGGTGGTGACGGAGTGCCACAGGTGGGCTGGAGCCGGCACAGGTGGGGAGGGAGCGCAGCACCAAGTCTGGTCACGGATAAAGCTGGACAAGTGCTCCTCAGTGCTGCGTGGGACACCTGCCCGGCTCCTGTATGCATCATGCTCTCTGAAATGCCATCCTCTGAGAGCTGAATGTGATACAGTGTGGCAACCACAGATGTGGACTCTGCAGTCAAATCTGCATTCAAAGCCCATCTCACTCTCTGGCTAAACCTCCCTAATATGTCTCATTTCCTAATATTTTCACTTTTCAGCTGCTAAACTGGAATAAATATCGTTGTGGTACAAGGTTTTAAAATGAAACAAAGGGCCAGGGATACAGTTTAGCGGCACAGCACCTGCCTGGCAAATGCAAGGTTCTGAGCTTGATTCCCAGTACCAAACATAAAATAAAATAAGACAAAGAATATGCAAGGTGCTGAGTATATACTGATTCCTCTGTGAATGGGAGGAAAAAGAAATGAGAGAGGGAGAAAGTACGGCAAGCAAAACAGCGGGTGAAGGGAGATGGAAGGAAGGCAGAGGCAAGCATACTCGGGGCGGGAGGGACCCAAGACAGAGGAAGAGGAAGTGCAAGAGACAGAGGAAAGAATTGTGGAAGGAAAGGGCAGGGATCCCTTTCCTCTTCTGTAGCCATCTGTTAACAAGCACCCCAAGATGTCTTGGGTGCAGCCTTCCAGGGTGAGCCATCCCAGTCGCTGTTGGTCCCGGCCCACGTCCTGCCTGGTGCGTTTGCTGCCCTCAATGGCTGTCTCCACCCACACCTGAACCGTGGCTGGGCAGCACCAGCACAAAATGGAAACAGGGACTCACGCAAGCAAAAACTGTGAAAGCAGGAAAGCCATGTACACATCCTTTCTAGAGAAAGTCGTCGGTGAGCCCGGAGACAGGGGGCCAAGCTTGTGAGGAATAGCATGTCTCACATATGGGAGACTTCAGGCTGAATTTGTACCAACTAAGCGTTTAGTGCCACCTAATGGGTGCTGGTTTCCATTTGAACCATGGGGATGCATCAGAGAACCCTGACCTGGCCTTGCTCCCCACATGGCTGTGTAACAGCACAGAGAGCAGAGGCCAAGAGAGTGAAAAATGACCACAGATCTCAGAGGGCCACCAGTAGCGTCACAAGTTCCCCGGTAAACCCAGCAGAGAAGCTCCTTCACAGGTCACGGGTACCAAAACTGCCTAAAATTTAAATAAAAATTTACAACAGGCTATAGACACTAGGTTCATATCCTATAAAGAGGCCTTATAAACCTGTTTTTTAAAAAATACACACACACTATCAGTATTTCCCAGCACAGAGATATTTTGCACAAGAAATATACATTTCTAATAAGCATATAAAAATTATTCAACCTCATTAATAAATGTAACTGAACAACAACATAAAAATGCTCTTTTAAAACACAACTTGGAAAATTGAGAAAATCAATTCTACTGAGCAGGCAAGGATACAACAAAGGGTGCCCTCTCTTGCACTAATGATACATAAAAAACGTCCACAGAATAACACAGGAAAAAGAGCCCAGCAGAAAAATGGGCAAAAATTCTGAACAGGCAATTCACAGAAGAGGTGCAAGTGGTTGAGACAGGTTAGGCATAGATATCGACTCTGATACAGACAGATAAATGTTCATACAGATAAATGTTCGCCTTCATGATGAGAGAAGGTCAAAGTAAAGGAAGGTACCAATTCCTGACTGCTGACACATTAAGTTCTAATAACTTCTTTTCCTCGAAAGTTGCTATGGTTTTGAGGAGTCTCCCCAAAGGCTGATGTGTTAAGGTTGAGTCTCCAGGGTGGTGTTATGAGGAGCTAGGTCTAGGAAGAGGTTTGCAGGTCACTGACGGTGTGTTGCTGAATGGGACTGTGGAACCCTTGGGATGGGAATCCATGTTTTCTTTTGTTTGGTTTTGTTCTGTACTTCCTGGATGGTGATTCAAGCAGTTTTGCTCAGCCGCTCATCCCACCATGATGTGCTACCCTTACCAGAGGTCCATGGTGCCCCACGACTTTGGACTAAAACTTCAGAACTGTGCACCAAAACAAACCTTTTCTCTTTGTGTTAATTAACTATATCAATTATTTTGATATAGTAACAAAAAGCTGACTAAGGAAGTTTGAGAAAATAGCTAGTCACTCACAAATCATTACTAGGAATAAATATTCTTTCAGCACTTCTGAAAGCATCTGAAATCACTGATGTCTTCATCTTTTACCCTCCTATCCTTAAAAGTACATTCCAATTATTTCTGTTTCAGGAAATAATTATTACTCCAAGGTCCTCTGTTCTCTATTTATAAAGA